ACTCAACCAACCTTAGTGGGAGGAGATGATTTGAAAATTCCAAGTGTAATCCACTGTGATGTAGTGATAAGTCTAAAAATGCTTGTGTTAAATCATACCAATGCTGTGTTCACAGATCTCATTATTGACCCTCTGATCCTGAGCATTTGACTTAAGATCTTAATGTTTTAAGACTTAATTTGAAAAAGAGGGTTGTCTGAAAACCAATTTGGTTTTAAATACTTGTCAGTGGGAATAATTGACCTTACTTTATGGAGTTGGCTGCTGCAGTTATAGCTTAAATCCAAGATGCTGCTTGCAGTATAAATAAACCTTTCCACTTTATTTTTAGAGAGGGAGTGGTGCAGTTATAATCAGCTTTTATGTGGTTTATGCTGTAGAGGAAAATTTATATTTGGTTACATTAGTGAATCTACAGTTTGAATATGGAGTCTCTAATCACTCTGTAGCTCAGGTAAAAACTAAAATATTCATAGTTTCCCTGATAAAAAGTATTTTTTCTCCTTTTAAATTTAGTAACTGGCTAAGCAGTGATTGGGTAAGTGTTCATCTAAAATTAGGTGGTGACACAAATCAGTAGAAGCCAAGAAGAGTTTGTGTAGCTAATGCTGCAGTAGTAATGTCTCTGTTGTGGATGTGACAGGAACTGGCTCTGAAACAACAAGTATGTTGTGGGGGTCATGCAAGTACAGTTCTGATCAGCTTCCCAGTGAGTGTCCCTTGGAGTTGCCTTGGTCTGATCCTGGGCTGGGCTACCCCTGCTCTCGCTCCAATGCTGACCCAGCAGTGCTCCCTATGCTTTGCTTTGTCCCTCCCTGGGCCTTTTCCCTGGATCTGGTGTTGAATATGGGTGGCAATTTTTTTTATTCTTACTTGGCATTTTGCATGACCACAAAACGCTTCTGAATAACTCTGTTTAGGGGGAAGGGAGTTTAAAATAAATTCTATTTTAAGTGTCAGGGACATGTGCTGACCAATGGACTTGGGCCTTGCAAGCTGATTAAGAGGGTTCATTGGAATGGGTTAGGCCACGGTCATGGCTGCTCAGGGCTGACCAGAAGTACCCTGATTGATCCCCCTGTAGTGTTTAATTAGTGTGTTTATTCTGTAGGGTCACATCAATTGGCTGCTTATACCCTTAACTAGACACACTGTCTTACTTGTCACAAATGTAGGCTTCAGGGCAGGAACTGAATATGGAATTAAGAGACAAGGAAAAGATTTCAAAACAGTAGCAAACAATGCCTGCAGGAGGGGAATGCTCAATGTGTGTGAAAGGAAAAAATGGCATTAGTGTGACAGCAAAGCAAGGCAGGAAATACAACAGCTGTAACGTGCTGTGTCCTGCACTTAGTGAGCATTTCCGAAGTAGTGTTATTTGTGATGGCACTGAAATGCCTGGAAAAGGGGCTTTGCCTTTCTTGGGTGGAGCTGTGTAGTAGTGAAAGCTGCTGAATCTTGAATTACTCAGAAACATCCAGAGTGTGTCTGAGCCCCTGTAGGTATGTTGTGCTACTGGGTTAACCTGTGGACATTGGAAAGGGAGAGGCCTCACCTCCTAAGCTTCTGCTGCTGTTTTTTGTTTGGTCTGAGGGTGCTCAGCATTTTGTGCATTTCCACAAGGACAAATGACCAAATTCAGCTGCTGCATCCAAACTGGGCAGTTCTGGCTGAATGCTACAGGATCTTTTTTGCCCTGGCTCTCTCAACAGTCCTGAATCCCTTTGCATTCCAGCCCTAGCACCAGAGTCTTCCCAGGAGATGACACTTCCAGTAGCACGTCTTTTCCCCAGCGAATGAAGGTGATGGTATGAGAGCCTTGTTTGCTGACTCCATTCTTTAATTGCAGTCTAATTTTGAGGGTCACTTGCAATGTAATTTTACAATTTAACTGTCCAGATACAGCCTAGGTAAAGAGGTTGTACAGCAAAGGAATTTTGCTAAAGCTTTCCTGTGAGCATTAAGCCATGCTACATAATCCCCATCATACCTAGTGATGTGCTCAGGTAGGCAGCTAGTGGGAAATCTCTGGAAGCTTTAATGTGAGGCTTTTCAGCTCTGCTTTAAAAGTCAGTCTAATAAAAGCATCTCCCCTTGGGTTAGTGTGCTCTGAACTTGACCTAGCAAGCAGATTTTGTTGTGTCCTGGCACTGGCTAATGATATAACGACTGATTTGGGATTAGGAGTTGAGAGTTGGGTAGCAAGGGTAAGTTGATGGGAGCTACATTTTTTTTTTCATGTTTGTCTTTCCTTTTGACCCTTATTAATCCAGATCCTTTTTTTTCTTTTTTTTTTTTTTTTTAATTAGGACCAAAGCTGTATACAGTGGTTTGGATGAAGCATTAATATTCCATATTATGTGGGAAAAGTTTACTATGATGTTTGCCTGTTTTCTAATAGTGACAGTGCCTGCTGTTCTGTTCCTAATTTTTCAGTAACTCCTTCTATGTTTCTTTCCCCAGCAGTTCTGTCCCTTCTGGCTGGTTTCCCCACTGGTATTTCACTTTGGGGAATGCTCTGTGGTGAGAGAGGCAGGGAAGCTGCTCTGATGGGCTGATGGGAATCCTGGGCTAAAGTTCTTTGTAGCAGAACACCAGGCACAGCCTAAAAAAGAAATATTGACCAAGCTGTGCAAATCCAGTGCCTGTGTTTTGTGAGTGCTGTTTGCTGAGGTGATGCAGGGCAAGTGCTGTGAGTCACTGACTCACACACACGCTGAGCCAAGGGGGACTTTTGGCTTCCCAGCAAACTGGCCTGGGCTCCTCCATGTCCTCTGGGCAGCACTTTATGCAGAGGCAGAGATGTGTTGTGTGCTGGGGGAACGTGGTGCCTTTCTCTCTGACCCTCACAGGCCCGCTGCTCACGGAGCAGCAGGGGTGGAAGGGCTGGTTGGTGACACACAGAACTCTGTTCATCATCGTCATCACAAGAAATGCTTGCAGTATCACCCAGGCAAATGCCGACATTGCCAAACCTGACCTACAGAGTAGGTCACAGAGACATTCCATAGTGCTGATCCCAAGAAACTTGCTCTTGGCTGCTGTCGAGTGTCTGTAGTCAACGGTCAATATTAAAACTAGGAGTAGAAATAGCAGAAATGAAAGTGGGACTCTGTGTTGCCTCCAGACATTCTGTAAGGCAGCAACTCATTGTGGCAGGAATCAGAATTTGATTCAAATACAAATCCCAGTAGTGAGCTGGCCCTGCTGCCTGGTAGGGCAGTGACTTTGGGTTTAGGTTTCATTGGTGGAGACTGTTGTGTCCTTCTGGACATGTAAGGAAATGTATTTATCAGGAAGAAAATGCCACTGCTACCTTATGCTAGATTGCTTTTGCTTCATTTGGATAGTAAGATACTACTGATGCCACAACTATTGTATGAAGTACTCAGGAAATGTAAGGGGGTTTTACTACTTCTGGCATTAGCAATAGTACCTGTGGGTGACATGGCAGAGCCACTGTCCTTTACAACACGTGCTGTCTGTATCAGTGTACTGCGTATGGCAATTCCATCCTGGAGAAAAGAGGTTGTAGGAATTGGGGCAGTACCGTGGATACTTTTAAAGTTTTATTTTAGGTCAGTGTTGATACCTAGATTTGTGTTTTGATGATATAGGTGTGGGAATAGGAGCTGAAAGGTTCTGAGATGAGAGGTGAAACTTCTTCCATGTTTGAGGAGGCTTTCCTGAAGTGCTTTGGAGCTGTGGGGAAAGAACAGTACTACCTACACTACTGAAACTAACTCTGCAAAGCACGATCCAGCTCTGGGAAAAATGGTCAGATCTGAAATCCTGAAGAGCGTGTCATAAAAGCAGAACACTTTTGCAGAGCTGCTGTCTCACTGTTCTTATCTCCCTGGACACACAGATGTTCTTGCATTGTTGTGGCAAAACAAAGGGCCTGCCCCATAGCTGGAGCTCTGGGACTGCCTGACTTGCAGGGAGCAGAAGTGATGTTATGCTGAGTTTGTGGGAATAGCCACAATGACCAGCACAGGCTGCACAAGTCTGAGCTGTGGGACACTTGTGCACCAAGACTGGAGTCCATGTGGTGATTTGAGCATTAGTCTACATTTTTTAACTTGTTGTCTTAAAGGAGTGTTATCTGAGGACATGAAAAGATAAAACTACTGCTGGGATCAATGGTACCTGACACTTCCTTTATACCAGATGCAGAGTTGACTCTTATCACAAGAATTCTGCACACAGAAATAAAGTGCATTAAAATGAGGGAAAGCTTAAGCTGAACATGAAGTTGCGTAAGCAGCAGAACATCAAGAGCACTTTGAGTAGCCTTTGGCTTCTGCTGATGGTTGAGGGGAAGGTGAATGTTTCTGAAGTTTAATCAAGTTGCAGTGTTTCAGCCAGTTGCTGTAAGGAAATGGTCTCTGAGCCCGTGTCTTCCTTCCTTCGCTCTATTTACGCGTACAATGGGTTGTCCGTGACTTCTCGGAGGGAAACAGCAGCTTGTTGGCCTTGGCACTTTGCTCATGGCCTGTACTTCAGGGTCACTCAGCTCTGTTTGTGTTGACTTTCACTGTACCAGGGAATCTAAGAGGATACATCTTGTTGGAGTGTTTTGCTAAACTGCATATTTTTTCTGTTTAGTAAAATTGCACAAATTTCTGAAGTCTGAATACTCTAGTTTTGCTGTTTGTCTTCATTTTGGGGGATGCTCAGGTACAGCACTTTACTTCAGTTTCAGTCCCAGTCCCTGACTCCTTTCTAAATTTCTGCTGCTGCTGAAACAGAATTTCTCATGTAGGGTGGTCATGGAGCTGGGACTCAGCTGAAGGCAGGTGACATCAATAGTTGGTTTTCCTACAGTTCTAAAGGGACATCAGTTTTTGAAAGCAGAAACAAAGAACAAACCCCAAACCTTGTACTTTTTCTTGCTCTATAAAATGGTGTGGTTCTCAGTGACTGCCAAATCACAAAGTGGTAACTGGGGGCCAAACTTGGTGTGTGTCCTTGACTGAGTCTGTTTTCCCTTTTTGCAGGGTTGGCGTGTTGGAGGACACCTTCACCTGTCTTGGTGTTTTGTGTGCCATTGTATTCTTTCCAATTGGGATTCTGTTCTGCCTTGCACTGAGGCAGAGAAGATGCCCTAATTGTGGGGCAGCTTTTGGCTGAGGGGATGAACGGGGCGTGCTTACAGAAGCTACAACTGTTAGCGTACTCTTTCTAATGTAAATGTCATGTACAATCATGTTATTTGCTTCAGACCTGTTTTGTAAAGTGTGAAGAAATTTAGTCTCTTGCATGTAATTTAAACTTAATCTTTTATGAGCATGTGCATTGCAAAACATGAAAACCTGACTTGTTTTCCATGTTTAGTGGCACCTGTTGAAAACTAAATAAAACTGCTTTTCCTTTTGCAATCCTCAACTTGTGGCTGGATTATTAAATATGTGACTGATGTGTCTGATAACACATAGTCTGCAAGCAGAGTTATTAATCCTAGCTACAATGAAGGACACATATTTGCCAGAATCTTTATCCTGATGATAAACCATGGTTTAAGGCTGTACTTGTTTAGGACATCAGATATTTGAGGGACGTTTTGCAACTGTACTACCACTAGACTAACAGCCCCTCTCTGAAGGCACAAGTAATAACACACAGTCAGAGCCCTGCTTTAATTAGTGAAGGTTTTGCTTCATGCAGATGTGTTGGTTCACAGACAGCAGAACCTTCTGTCTGCAGCAGGGCCCTCCTGTCTAGAAAGAGGCCGGGGCACTGCCAACCATGAGCTGCCCTCAGTAAAAGTTTTTACATGTTAGATATTTAATTCTGATACTGAATTATTGAAAGCTCATACAGTCTAGATTGACTTGCCTCTAATATGCTTTAGAAAATGGGCTCAGGTGTAAGTTACCCTTCTGAAAAGCTGGTGTTTCAAACTAGGATGGTGGGTATTTATGCAGGGCTCTCTAGCGGTGTCCTCGGCCTTGAACTTGAAAGGCAGTGTGAGAGGAGCCAGCACAAGCTCATATACTATTTTTTGATATTAAGTAACTGAAAGGCATTTCACATGACTTGAATTGACTGTTTATAGTAGTAGAAGTAGGCACCACAAAACGAATGATCCAGAGGATGCTGCAGGAAGCACGTACATATGTAAAACAGAGTGATTTGGAGTAAGGATTAATCACTGGCAGCAGTCATAATACAGACTTCATAGCAGTGGGAAGTATCCCCTGAGCTGTGCAGGGATGAAGCACCTGCTGCTGGTGCAGTTAATTTCTAGCATTCTAGGCTAAGTTCTGAGGTGATTATTACTGTAGGAAAAGGCTTTTGGACAAGCTGGCTCTGCTGGATTTACCACACCTGAGTCTGAGGTAACAAACTGCTCAGCTCTGCTTGTGGCTGAAGTTTAAAGTTCAGTTCCACTTAACTCAGCTACTGCACTGTGCCAGCACTCAGGCCTTTGCTCGGCTCCCTAAACAAAACTTTTCCAACTTGAACTGTTTTTCTTTTGGGAAGGCTGCAGTAATGGAGGAACTTCAAAGGCAGCTTTTTATATTGGCACTTGAGAAAAAATTGTGGCACTGCTTTATTATGACTTTTTATCAGACTAAAGTTTGACAACACGTTTTAAAGACAAAACTATCATTGAAGAATATGTTAACAGTACAACATTAGACTGAAAATGGAGTTCTGTTAACACTTGAAAATTTGTATGTGAACATCAAGCAAAGCTTTACAAGTCGTCTATTCTTAAAGGATAAATATTTATTTATAACCTAAGGTATCTTTCTTACACAAAATAATGTATAATCATTTATACAGGCGATTCTCTATTCTGGAATAAGGCAGTTGTTACATTGTTCTGTTTGAAAAAAAAAATAAAATCACTGTTATCTTCTTTAGTAGGTGGCATATGCAGGCTTATATTCTAGAACTTACCATTGCAGCTTCCAGATAACGAATGCCAAAGATTCAGATCTGTGAGCTATTACTTACACTGATTCACTAGAGCATCCAAACTATCTCCAGCATTTTCACAAATCCTACTACAAAAAAGGCATACTGTAAAATCAAGCCCAGGTGCTCAAACACTAGCCCAAAGCAATTACCTCATTAGAAAGCAAAGGTTTTAACAAAACATCAGAGCTCCATTCCAGTATGCCAATATTGTACAGTAATTACATTTAAATAAATTTTTAGAAGAAGTTGAGATAGTAATTGTCATTACTGGTGTTGGTAAGGAAGAAGGTCATGTGTCTGGACCGTGTATTCATCGGATAATCGGTGCTGATCTGTCATTTGTTACTGTTGGTCTGAGCTTCACTGTTGCAAAGGGATTTTCTCCACTGAAAAGAAATGCATAAAGTTACTCAAAGGCTTGCTGCAATCCAACCCCAAATTTAAACAATTCACCTTCTTCATAGAAGTTGTCTTCAAACAGTAAGTTATGGTTTGAGACTAAAGGATGCTGTGCAACTCTTAGTTTAACTTGAATTAGTAAAGCAAGGTTACGTGTGGATTCACTTTGCAGTGATTCAAACTTGGGGAAGTTAATGCCCAGTTAGTTAGATCTGGACTTTTTTAAACAACTTCAAAGATTTTTGCTTTTAAACCTTAAAAGACAGTTAAAGAAAGTTTAAGTCCTGTTCCCTGTCAAACTACTGGAGACCCACATTTTTCTGAGAAGGGCCTATTCATCGTACTTCACTTGAGGCCACTCTTGAGAAAAGTGCAACCAATTTTATCCATAATGTTTTACCAGTGCCTGGGAAAGGTCCCAGAGAAATTAATGATAAACATCTTTACTTTCCCTTACAAGAGACAAAATAATATAAGCTAATATAAAAATCAACACAAATCTGTTTAAAAGTGTTAAAAATATACCTTAGAAAAGGTGGTTTTGTAATGCCATTCATGTTGGGTTTCTGTAAAACAAAAAGATATTTACATAAGTTTATAAAGATATGCTACAGGTGCCCTCACTACCCTGCTAAGGAAAAGAGACCCTGTCATTCAAGTGGGCTAAAATATTTAGCCATTTAGAACAATTATTATGTGGTTCAGCTGAACTGAACAGGATTCTCTCAGAACATCAAAATTAGGTTACAATGGTGCTGTGAAGTAAAGGTAACCCAAGAGGTGGCAGTGTGGCTCTGTCCCAGGCTGCTCCAGGATGCAGCATTTTCGGGTGGGACAAAATGGAAAACTGTTGCCTTTGGCAAACCAGTTGTGCTATGGAGGAGTTTTGGCAAACAGCTAATTCTACTTTTCCCCCCCTTCTTGCTTAATGATGTATTTTAAACTGGAAACTAATTGCTTCTAATAGGTGTCAGATAAAGCTCAAAGTGAAAATGGGAATATACATTTTTGCATGTAGAAGCAGAAATATGCAGTCACCTTTTATGGAGCAACTTGACTTGTACCAATAATTTAGTCTATATGGCCATTTTGGATTTAATATTTCAAATTTCAATGCTGAACTAAGGCCTATCAGCCTTTCCTTTCCAGGCACACTGGGTTGTACCAGCAGTTCCCAGTTACCATATTTATGATACCACGATGCAGGTGAAGAAACCTCTATTTATTCAGGACTTCATTCAGCAGGATTCTTAACTCACACTTGACTTGTGATTTCAATAAAATTGGTCGTGTACGTCAGTTGTAAATAGACTAAGACTGTGATTTAGGCCTAATTAGCCCTTAAAATTAATTAAAATGAACAAATGCCTGAATTACATCTTACTGAACACCAACCCTCATCAAAACTTTGTCAACTACCAAGTCTTTTTTTGTTAGTTGATCTTGTTCTGCACAGTACTGTCCTCTGCAGCACAGCATGAACAATGTAACTGGCTAGAACCATTCCTCATTTTCTTGAAATCCTGAGCTATTTTTTCTGTGTAGTCTGAAACAAAAATAAGATGCCTTGAATCATTTCCTGCTTCTGCATGGAAGGCACAGTTAGCAGACTGTTTTACACAGTATGTAAATCCTGTGCGAGTCTCCAAGCCAGCCTGGTACAATGTTGGGCTTATTTCCAAAGCCTTGTGAGGCAGTGGGGGTTTGAGACTTGCACGGAAGCAGGAAAGACAAGGAAGCTCTGCAACTTCCCAAAAGAATGAAAATAAATAGTGACTTAGGAGCGAAAGACTTGGGTGCAAGTGCAGCAACTCCCCTCTACAGCTCTCATGTTTTGTAAGGTAACAAGTAAGGTGGGGTCACAGTAAAAAGTTAGGGGGTGCCTCAAAAGTGATCATTATTTTATACTCCAGAATCCCTAATTTATTTTAATCTTGCTTTCCATGTGGAAATTTAGATTATCAAAAAAGATGTGTTTGTTTTCCACTCTTAGAAGTTATCAGCTTCCATTATTTTATATATATTAGGGTTTTTCTTCCCTTCACAATGTGATCTCTGCTTCAAGAGGCTTTTTGAAGAAAGTCTCAAAAACATCACCCTTAGATACAGATCAGCAAAATACTTAAATGAGCAGCAAGAAAAAACCTAGTAATTGTGTAATTTGATTAGATTCATTTTGAGTCAGTTTGAATGCTGACTTAATAGCAGAAATAATAGCATTGTATAGCAGTATTTATTCATAAAAAATGTATTTCCACTCAGCTGCATCTTTACTAAATAGACATGAGTTAGTACAGCTCTCCCTCAGTGACAGCTGCAAACCCACCACCAATTTTTGTGGGGTTCCTGAATACAGAGTTCCCTGTGCCCCATAGCTCCAAAATCACCAAAGATGATGGATTTGTACTACTTTCTGTGAGAATTTCTTTTCATGTTTAACAGATTCCGTTGCTGAGAAGTTTTGCTATGCAGAATGTCTCTTACTACTGTCAGTCAATGTCCCTGAACAATTCTCCTCCCTTCCTGTCAGGATGGATGGGTTGAAATGCCAGAACTCCTGATACTCCTGAGCACAGCTGTGTCACAGAGCTGAAGTTGAGCACAAGGTAGAGGATTCCAGGGCCTCATTTAAGAGCAGATGAAGAGGGTAAGCAGGGGGAACGTTTGGGTTCCCAGCACGGATCACTCACCGGCCCTGCCTGCTCCGCTCTGTCCGTCGGTGTTTTAGGAGCAGGACCTTTGGCAGACTCCGTCTGTGAAGCCCCCAGGTAATCTGGTGGTGGGAGGACAACTTCACCTTTCTCCACGAGATTTACAGAACTAACACTTCGGATTGGTGCAGGGCTGCAAGACAGAACCCAACAAATGCCGTTCTCAGTTCCTACAATACATCTGTCACTTATCCCTAGCACCAGGAGAGCACAAAAGGGAAGGAGCTGGAAGTTAGTAATGGTGTAAAATGCCCCTGAAGTCAGCGGGACTTTGAATTACAGCTGTTCCGAAGCTAGTTCTTGGGTCTTTGTGTAACCATTAAAAGACATTCATGTAATCAAGCCCTCCTACTGCAGATTGTTAGAGATGTTACTGAACCTCAAAGAACATGAGCACAAAAATGTTAGTGAAGATTTGGGCATTTCTGCAAGTGCCACCCAAAGTGTTACCTTGGCACAGGGGCAAAGGCTTTGTCTTCTAATTCTTCTAGTGGTCTTGTGTACGACGATGGAAACCATCCTTTTCTGTAATGAGAAAGGTTTTTTATATTATATACATTGGAAAGATCTTTCAAAAGACAACTTGGACTAAACCATAGACTGAACAAACAGATTTAATTTTTGAAGACTCGATTTTGGATGATGCCAAATTAGTGTGCAAAACCTCTCTAAAATAAGTGCAGTGATTTTCCTTACAGAAAGCCTCCAAGTCCCCCAGACAGCCAACAAAAGAGGTAGAAAACCATTTCCCATCTGCAAACAAAATCTGATGAAACTCGCTTTTCCTTCATGTTCAAGGTGGATAATATATTGATTATCTTACGCTCTGGTTGTGTCATGCTCCCCATAGAGCCAGCCATCCTTTTCCTCAGCTACCAGCAGTGTGATGATATCCCCCTGGGCAAAGCTGAGCAATGTCTTGTTGCTTCCAGCAGTATGTGGGAAGATTGTCTTCACTTTTTGCCTTTTCATTATATTTAGTCCCGTGGCAACAGAAGTTGAACGTGATAAACTGGCATCATCTGAATTCTCTGTCAAAAAAAAGAAACACGAAGAAAAAAAAAGAAATTAAAGGAAAAAATTACCACACTAACAAAATTAAATGCAATTAGTAGTCTGACGGGAAAAAAACCAAAGGAATAATCAAGTGCAAATCAAGTTCTGAGACTTTGTACTTTCTACTTAGACACCTCTCATTGACCTGCCAATGTTTCTTATCACCATGAAGTTCTTAACTGCACGTGCATTTATATACACACACCCAGCATAATAAAGTTGAACCATCAGGCATAAAAAGTTCTGTAAGTTTTAACTGGCTACATTTTTCCCCTTTTGGCATGAAAAATGCTAAACAATCACAGCTGTAAAAGAAAGGCCTTTGAAAATTTTCCATTATAAAAAGTAACTGTGTATAAAATCCAAGATTTCACTTTCGAATGTGCCTCACACTCAGCTTCAGCATCAAGGAGAGTTGCAGATAATTGGCACTTTGCAGATATTTAAACGAGATGTTTACCGGAAGACAAAATAAAGGAGAGCTCAAAACTTTGCTATTTGGTTACTACAATATATTGTAAATGCATTTTCAAGGAAGAAATGCTGGAATTGCTATTATCACATTTAGGAGTTCTTCATTTCTTATGCTGTGAGCTAGGCTTAGTTCTTTCCCTTCCCTATGTCAGAGATAGTAAAACAATAAATATATTAGAAACTTGGAAAATAAATCTTAATAGGATTTTACATTTCAGGAAAGGAACAGAAGACTGTGCTCATTTTGTCCCTTGTGCATTCCTCCCTTACTGCTAAGTGCCCTTAAAGGAACCCAAAGTGGGACTGGCAGAGTGTTTATGTTGTTTTGTGCAGTGAAACAATCCCTCGGATGTATCCTGTTCAAAACTGCCGAGTGCCTTCTGCTGATAACACTGGAATTCATAAGAGCAGTTAAGTTGAGTTAATCAGTGACACACAGAAAGTGATTAAAATAGAATCTACCTACCTTGACCTGCATTTTACTCCAAACAATTCTCTCATAACACATCTTTCTGCTGTTATAAGAGAATCGTAAATGCTTTGTAAAGACCATTTCCTACTCCTCTACACATCCTGGAATTCACGTCATCGTGGTAGTGGAGAAGCCCTGGGGTAATTTTGAACACTACTGGATGTCATTCACACTTACCCAGTTTGCAACAAAGGGACACTCACCTGCTGAATGATTTAGTTTCTCAGAAGGTGCTTTGGGAGCTGTGGCAGGATTGTTGAACATATCAACGAGTGGGCTCGTGTAGGCTCTGCATGTGGGAGCTGGGGGCACGTTGGATGCATTTTCGTGGTGAGGATAAAAATCATTTCCAATCTAAAGTCACAAAAACAACGGCATCACAACACTGAGGAGACAGCCATCACTTATTTGCAAGATTGAATTCTAGAGAGCAGTGCTTAAATACTCCCAAATGGTATATATTGAGACATGACATAAAGCCCACATGTTCCTATGGAATTGCTGATAGGTTTGTAAGAGGCTTCTGTCCCTTGATAAACACTTGTTAGTGGGAAGGCTATGATATACTTTTTTTTGTTTAGGTCTATTTTGAACTACTGAGTATGTAATTAATATTACTTACAGACAAGAATGTTGGAAATGGAATGGTTAGAACAAAAGCAGTCCTGAGGCTGGGCTTCTCCCTGCTGTACTGTGTATTTTTCCTGTAGCAGAGCTTCAGCTTAAGGATTTTGGTTCCATACTCAATCCAAGTATATTCCCACTGAGATACATTATAGACTCCATCCCAAATGTTTAGTTGGAAAAAGAAAACCTAGTGAAGCCCCTCCACTCCCATCAGAGAACAACATACCATGGTATTTCTCTCTACCATTGGTGAAGGCTGCGGCGTTCCCGAGACTGGAGTGGATCCAGGTGTCCTTATTTCATCTATCATCATTCTGACTTTTTCAGGCACTTTGGTGGCATCACTGCAGGTTTCCTGCCACCCAGGCAGCTTGGATTTTAGGAAGTCTGCACACTGCATCCAAGGTAAAAGGTACTTGTCAGAGATATGCTTTTTCATAAGATTGCACAGACCTACTGGCTAACTTTCATTACACCAAACTGTTAACACCAGCATCATGGAAGTATTTTCTAAGATTTTTCTAAGCCATACCTCTTTGAAACAAATAATATGTTGAAAAAAGGGACTCTCCTTTTGCAGGGTCAGATACTGGATTTAAAAAGTCACAACAACCCTTGATTGTTGCTATAATAAGTTTCATAGACTAGTGTATTGTAAACATTTTCTATGAACTGACCACAACACTCGTCTGGCAGTTCAGTGTTCCTTGGACATTTCTGGCAGCGTGATCTGTGCACTGCAGGAGATACTGAAGATCTCCTACAGGACTGGATTTCAGGAATTTCATTTCTGTTCACTGACCTGGACGTGGTAGAAGTGCATGTGCTGGGTAAAGCTGCAGTGCTTGTCAACCAGGAAGCAGAACCTTCTTTTCTCTTCAAGGAGAGCTTCTCTGCAGCCTTCTGCAATGAACCGCTGGATATCGCTCTGGCGAGAGCTCACCGTTTCCAAATACTGAGGAAAAAAGGAGAAAAAATTCACATAGAGCCTCTGAGTTTTATTTGACACTATATCCAATTACTGAAGTAAACTCCAAAAGCCTCAGAAATAGCTTTTGGAAAGGTGGAGTGCGTGGCTCTACTTCCAAGCCCTTCTCTTTTCCTGCACACACCTGACTTCCCTGATCCCATCAGGTAAAGGTGTATTGTCCCTACAGGCATCAACAGCTTATTTAGGGGCCATGGGGGGGGGGAAGTGAAGCAAAACAAGAAAGTTTTTTAGCCTCTAAATAAAACTCTGCAGTTGATAAGAACCTGGCATCAAAGCAGTGACTGTGCTGAGCAATTGTACAGCCACAGGTGTCTAATTAGACTAATTACCTTGTCTGCTCCACGGTAGTTCATTTACTCACACAAAGCTCTGAGGAATCTCCACTTCATTTAAGGGGGGGGAAGTGAATGAACTAAAAAGGCTCAACTATATTTATCTGAGGTTACAAGGATTCATGGCTAAACTGTGATTAAATGCTAATCCTTGAACTCTCAGACCCAGAGCCAGAACTGTAAAAAAACCCAAACCTGTTATGAATGCAGGTTAAAAGATAGGCACTAAGAAATAGGAGCTCCTAACATCTACATTTACTGTATGAGTTATAAACAAAGCTTTATTTGAATTTTAAAATAGAAAAATATGGGAAAAAAATATAAGCTAGCACGAAGTACAAGTATTGTGCAAATAAAAGTATCAATGGCAAGTATTTTCAGAGACACATGACAACCAGAATATGAGTTCCTAATTTTAAAATAGTTTCTCTTCAGTGCCCTGCCATTTCAGATTTCTCCTCAAGATGGCAATGCTGGCTTAAAGGCAGTTGGAAAGGCAGTAACTGATAACGCAGGTTGGCATTGCCTGCTTTGGGAAATAAATTTATAGCAAATTACTACTGAATTTGCATAGCTTAGCTGACTCCCTGTGTAAAACTCTGCATGAAGGTGTAGCTACAAAGGTACTTAAAAACAAACAAAAAAATCAATTGACCCAGTGGTCAAGGGATGAAATCTAGAAACTAGAGCAGAAGTCTCTGAACATGCACAGTGGAGCAGTGAGAGCTCAATTTCAGCTGGAATACATCCTCTAGGAGTGCCTTTAATACAAACCAACTTTCAGGAATCATTAACATTTTCTGCTGACTAGTTCTCATACAAAGAAAGAAACAAATAAGAGACAATGCACTGACCTCCATTTCTTTATGCTCATATTTTGTTACGTTTCGTGCTCCTTGGCTTTTCCTTCTGATTTTTTTCAGCTCAGCCTGAGACTTCTCTAATGAATCCAGTTTGCTCCTGTGTTCGGTTTGGTACCTCTTTAAAGTTGCCTGCAATCAAAGCATTTACAACAGCTCGTAATGCCCTCAGCCCTGGAGCTGGGTAAGTGACTGAGGCACTTCTGCCTCAGATCCCTGAGATCTCTCACACCCACCAAATGAGTTCAACAGCTGCTTTAGTTTTAAGGACCTGTGAAGTCATAAAATTGATTCCCTTTTTAACTTAAATTAAGCATGAAAATTTTGGCCATCTTTATGTATAATTTCTAGCCTTTTGATTAATTAATTCTTTGGGAACAATTTCTGAAAAAATTCTTTGACTAGCAATAGACAAATAAAATAGGAGTTTTAGAGTTGAATGTATACTTACAGTCATATATTTCACATCCAGGTCTGTTTTCTTCTCCAGTTCAGATATAATTTCTTTATGAAATTTTTTGAACTTTAAAAACAAATGAATGAAGAGTTATTAAAAATTGGCAATAGCAATTTATAATTTCACAAGGAAAATGAATTTAAAAAAGTCATTTAACTTACACTCTCCTCTAGACTGTCATTAAGTTTCTTGTGTGTTCTTGAGATTTCTACCAGAACTTGGCCTGTTGATAAACATACAACCATATTGGTTTCTTTCATAGAGTTCTGAAGTTAGTTAACAAAGAGCAGTAATAAAATACATTTACCTAATATACTCATTAACTAGACTCTATTTAAGAGGGATAGGAAATTTCTTGCTGTTGCTCACCACAGCAGTTTAAATAAATAACTCTCTCTGGCCACAGACAAACCAAGCAGCTCCTAAGTGATAGATGAATAACTAATCATGCATTGTTATGCAAAAGCGGCATGGAGTGCCAGACAAAATAAATACTTCCTTCTCTCCAGAATAGCTCCTGTTGGTTTAGTAACTGCTTCTTGTCTTGCCAAATCAGAATAGCACAGGAGTTGTTACTATACAAGTAGCTACTCTACCTTTCTTAGCCTGAAAATTAAACGTTGATGTTCATTAAGTAACAGCACCTTCAGAATCAACAAAGTAACCTTTCCCTTCCCTCACAGCACACCTGCTAAAACAGAGGTGATGCACAAACTGATGAATTCCCCCATTTTATCAGCCGTTGTGGCCCAACTGTACAGCATTAACAAAGGGCCAAGACAAAGCAGATTTCTCAGCATCCTCTCAACAGATCCTGAGTATGCCAGCTCTGCTCTGCTGTCTTCCAGCACAAACTTAACCAGCTTACTCTGAACTGTGAGCAGTTAAAAGCTGAACTGGTTCATTTTACTTCAGGAGGATATAGAGGAAAAATCCCTCAGTCTTTTGGGTGTGGTTCTGTGCACAAACCATCGTAAACTGCGGTGCAGCCCTGCATGCAGCCACATCACCCTGCCTGGGGCACATGGCCACATCATCCCCACTCCCTTCCTTGTTGGGGCACTGGCACACGGAGTGTGTGCCAGCCTGGTCTGGGAGATTGCAACACACTGCTGAGGAGTTGGAAGGGCCCTGAAGTAAAGTTTGACTTCACCCAAATCAGACAACTGTTCCCAGCTCCCAGCCAGGAGCCGTTACAAAAACTGGAAATGCCAGGGCCACAATGAGAATCTCAAACTGGGCTGCATCTGAAAGTCTCGACTGGAGATGTGTTTCCCTGGCATTCCATTTCCACAGCAAGACCGGCAGGTTCAGTTCCACAGCTGGTTCCCTGGCACGCCTCCTCCAGTAATCTCTCTATTCCTCAATCAGCCTTGCAGGTGTCCCGCCTGTATTTGCCACGCAGGTGCCTGCAGTATTTAAGCTGCAGTCGTGCTGTCCTAGTGCACAGGCAGGGCTACAGAGCAACCCACAGCTCTGAAACTCCTGCACATGGCTGGCAGTCACTGCACGGGACTCTGTGTCCCTCCTATTTGTTATTTTACACAATTCCAGTTTAGTTTCTTGAGTTAAAAAAGAGAGGATGCATTAACTGCATGCTGCTGTACAAATCCTGTTTTCCACCATCCATGATCTTTGAGAAGCCCTGAGTTAGCAAAGACTTATTATCCCATAATGCTCAGAAAAGCTCCCAAAAGATGCAGATAATTAAAACATTTGGCTTGATAAAATGAATGATAGAACTCTTCATAAGAACCTTCTCATCTTCTCCTTTCTCATCTCCACAAACATCCAAACTTGTCTCCCTACAGTGCAGGTTAGTGATTTGGTAACCTCCCCACATAAGGCAGAACCATTCCCATAGTGCCTGGCTATGTGTTAACACCTTTCTCCCATTCTCAAGTTACACCACCTCAAGATTTTAGTTTCTTTGAAATGAGAACCCTATCTCCTGTGTATGACACAACAGATATTTAACTGAATAATACAAAATGTGGATCTGCATTATTGTTTATGGGGAAGCATGAGGTGGTTCAGGAAGAAACACAGGTCTCCTGAATTTTCGGGAATCTCTCTTTGCACAGCAGACTACAGAAGACTTAGAAGAAAGAATCAGAACACAATGATACCAGACAACCCCTTGACTAGCAAGAAAAAGGAGTTTGCACACAGGATGGGAGATGGCAGAGACAGAGGGGTGCTGTATCTTTTTAAAAATATGTGTAGTTTCTTTGGGTCCTTCTGTCCAGCCAACAGAGTGCTATGCTTTTTTTGTTCCTATTTAAAGTTGCTGGTGACTACAGAAATATAAATACTATAAGAAGAGAGAGATGCTATAGTAATTAGTATGCAACAGAAAAATAAATACAATGTGGTTGCACAAACACTTGAAGCAACGGACCTGAGCTGTGTTATTTTAAGGCTATAGAAGTGAATACACTTTAGTCCATAGTGTTTGTTTCACCAACTCAAATGAAAGGACACATTTTAGAATCTAAAGAGCTTTTAAAGTTAGAAGAGTTTTGTAAACGCTTATCTACAACTTAAAAAGAAAAATGTTGTTACAAGAAAGCAGGAAATATAATCAAGAAATACATAAAATGATAAAGTTTGTGTGGTTTTACATATGCAGACTAGAAAGCTATTTGGGAAGCTACAGAAATTCCGGGTGAGAGTAGAAATGGCCCTCAAAATAATTAACCTTATAGATTTTTATACTTCTAAAATGAACTTATTCTGCCTCTTTGTGAGAAGTACATTCTGAGCCAAAGCAGAGCCCTGAGCTAATCCTTGGCAACGCCAGCGCAGCCACCGCGGGCGTTCCGGGCGGGGACAGACATCCAACAACGTCGGGTATTGACTCAGCTCTGCGTGGCTCCCTCCCTCCCTCTTCCCTCCCTCTTCCCTCTCTCCTGCCCTGCCCCTGCTCCATAAAACCCCCATTCACCTGGGGCGGCCGCGCTGGAAAACCTGACGCGCACAGGGGTTATTTTTGTCTCCTGAACTGACTGCAGCCTTCAAGTCTTTCGGCTTTCACTGCTTGGTTAGAAACAGTTTTGTTTTTTTTTGTCATCTCAGTTACAAAAAATACTGCCAAAACCTGTCCTGAGGAGAACTTTAAAAACTACACTTCCTTCTGAATGGTTTGCGCTGGATTATTTTAGGGGTTTATTTTAGAGTGTTCTAGAACACTTTTAAACAGCGTGTTTGGATGACAGTGACTGTGTCTCTCTCTAATTGCATTTTCTTTTTCTCTCAACCAAAGACTCCCTGTGCTGTGTATCAGAAAACCCACTTTGTGCTGGGATCTCCTCCCTGCTACTGGGAATCCACAGGCACTCCATGTACTGGCTCCCCCATTTAATTTCCTCTTTCAAAATGTTGATTCAAAATGTGAAAAGAACCCACAGTTAGCATGCTCTGACCTATTAAAATTTAAATTATACATTAAATTCTGCACTTTGAATAAATAGAGAGCATTTTTACAGTGAACATATACCCTGTTTCTTTATTGCCAGTTTAAGGTAATGGGTTAGCCACATTTTGATGGCCCTTCCAAATAAAATTTATAGAAGGAGGCAAGTTTTTGTAGAAGACTAAGTCAGGAAAGACAAAACAGCCCCTATTCTATATGTAACAGTGTCCAAGTAGAATGGAAATTGAACAACTTCAGTATACTATTTGAATTTTAATTACCATGGTGAATTATAGAATAGCTTTAAGAAAGATGACAGGTTGCTCTGGATTGCTCTGGATTAATAGCAGCATAACCTAAGGCCAGGCTCTAATGTTCAGTCTTTATTCCTCTTGCAGAAAGGTACAGAAAAATACTTAAGGTGAAGACAAACGTGTATTTCTCACATCAATTAAAACTATTTTGCTATATATTAAAGCTGCTCATGAGCAGGTTTTATATATGAGAGCTCATAATACACAATAACCAAGTGTTAACCTTGTCATCAATTACTGGCAACCCCCAAACCTATTAAACACAATGACACGACCAGAGCACACAATAACAGGCCACTTAAGTCCAATTTGTGGCAGCCCAACTGTAAACTTGAACCAGTTTTAGGCATCATATTATTCAATGAGTCACTAAACCCAAGCCACTGGTCTTGATGATAAACATAACTATTAAAATACTTGCCTTTCAAAGATAGTTTTTTTCTGCTTTCCATCTTCCCACACCCTGAACATGAAATCTTTGTGACTAAAAAATGCAGCTGACATTAAATATTCCCACCTTGTTTCAGAAAACAAAAAAGTAGCTGTACATGTTCGCAGATATTTGTTCTGATCTTTTGCTATTACCTTAGAGGTAGGGAAGAGAAGCAACAACCTCTTTCAGAAAGGGATTTTGGGGGTACATCTCAAACTTAAATGACTTAAAAATAAACCAAACATTTCTCATACACAGTTCTTGAAACTATGCTGTGAAATACAGCTATAACCTGATATATGACCGTGAACAGTAATGCCAAGTTCCATGGTTAATTTATTTCCTTCAAATAGGTTCACTGCACGAGTAGAAAGATCTTTTAAGCTGAAACTTCAGGAATTTGTGGAATATTTTTAGGCTTAATCAAGGTTGTCGGTTGTGTGTGTATTTTCTCTTGAGAAAATAAGACAGATTGGAATTCCATTAATGGCTTTGGGTTTGTTACAAAAAAAAAAAATCACTAGCCAAAGTGTGTAACAGTTATTTCTCCACAACTGTTACTCTCTCTCAGCAGCTCTTGAACAAGAAGACATCCTTGAAAGTCTGTCTTCACAGGAGATGAAAATGAAGGAAAGCAGTTCCTAAGAGAAAAACTTATTGTAAGGTCAGAACTTGTGCAGCAGTTACACTTCAACCTCACTGTTTGCGCTGGCTGATTGTTCAGGTTATTTACCTTTTCACCTTATGTTGACTGTTCTTGTGAATAGAAGACTAGAAGAATTTGTTCAAGTTAGAAACAAAAATGGAACTCAATCAATAGAGTTCTGTCATAGAAACAAGTATCAACAGCTACCAACAAAATCACTTAACCTTTAAAAATACTAAATAGCTGTATAAAAATCAATAAAAGTAGTAATTGCATCATCTTACTTGAAATATACTTCAAATTTGTTTTATTCAGAGAAGGTTGCTCTTGAAAAATTTCAAGCCTCTTAATAGAGAGACTTTCTTAGATGCCTGGGAACAGACAAAGTACTTAATTATATCACTCCTTTACCTCC